TTTTCATGGAACAGGAAATTTGGAGTTATGTGTTCTGTTTTGGCTTAATTGCTCCATGTGCTTCTTGATATACACAGACTTTATCTTGCTTGTGTGACAGCTTTCAGTCTTGCATTCCATGTTCTATACTTTCAAAGGCTGTCAGAATAAGGATACATGATGAAGTAAGAAAGTAGTGGAGCTCATGGCTGCTCAGCATTATTAATTGTAAGTTGTTATGGTGATAGTACTTACCCTTCAATATACCAGAAGGCCATGGTCAACCAACATTGTCATCCAAACATGGGTGATTTACAAATACTGGTTATTCAATATCAAACATCGCACACGTTGGTTACCTAACGCTTCAATCTGTGCACATGGTCACGAGTGAACAAAAATGGCATTTAAAAAATTGACACGCAAATATAGAAGGTGCTCCGAATCTATGAGCGTGCTGTCAAAGTACGTGTTATAAAAGTACATTAAAATAAACACAAGTATTCGAGGTATCACGTCATAGCACCCGATGCATGGTACTGGGCGACGTGAACATTGCACAAACATCACCGAGCTTCTGGCTTCTCAGGCTCTCGCGTCTCTAACATCCAATGCACGGTGCTGCGCTGAGAGTCGCCGGGGGCACAGACGGTTAAGCTGGAATGTTGTGGTAACCCTTACCGGGTATGTATAAGGGGATGAGGGTAGAAGAAATTTACCATTGGGCATTATTGTTTATGAAAACGAACATCAAACTTTTTAAACCTGCATTACCCAAACAACGTTGTTGACACTAGGTTAAACGAAGCTGGTGTGTCCAGCCCCCGACACGAATATTACAACCGTGCAGCAGCAAGAATATTTTGCGGCCTGTGTTCTCTTTGGACGTTGCTAAATACCGAGTGGCGTTCTCCGAAATGTGCATCCCCATTGCGTTCGTCAAACCGGGCCGGAATGCCATATTTTGTCTTTTGCTCGATGCATCCCTGAGCAGAGGCTTCATAATATCTTATTAGCTACGTTCTTAACACGCACCCGGGTGGCCAGTTGAATACCCTTCGCTCGGATGGAAGGTCAGTTTGACCCCCTGGGATCTCAGAAACGAATAGTTAGGCACCAAATTTACGGGGTGTGTTGGCATGCGTATGAACCTACTTACATCAACATTTGGGTTCCTAGGGCATGGCCTTCGGGTCAAATAAGGTCAGACAAGGTCAGATTCCAAATTAGTACTCCAAGTGCCCCCAGAACCAAAACACCTGTTATAAGGAAAGGTCATCGATGCTCATTTAAGGTCAGTCACGTTTGACTTTTCACACGTCATGCTGACCAAAATCATACAAGAGTATTTTGAGTTTTGCGTCGGAATAAATGTCCAAGATTACGCTAGACATTATGTTCCTAAAAACAAAATGTTGACTTGGATTCTTTTAAGTCAGTGACCTATTCTGACCTTTAAGAGGTCCATGGAAGGCGTATGGGAGCTATCGTTATCAATGAATTCGAAGTGAACACCAGAAACTATCCCATACAGTAAGCTATAGAGAAATACAACAGCTTGGATTTGACCTTGGTCTGACCTTCATACCTGGCCCTAGGTCAATGAAATTTATCCATTAAATTGTTGTGTTGCCTAAGAGGCTATCTCAGGGGTGTATGACTTCGTACAACACCCCGTTGTTGTACCAGATTGAACTATTCCCCATAAGCTGTCTTCGCTGAATCCATGGTCTAAATGATCTGCGGTGGGTCAGAGACCTTACAAGCAATAGATCTAAATTTTTAATGCCAAACGATTACCTGATGATGGTGATTTGGGGTTTTAGGGCGCATCGGCTGCTGAAGGTCATGCAGCGCCCATGCAAAACGATTGCCTATTCAACTGTCTACAGCTATGCAAAACTTGGCGCGGCCACGTCGCGCCGTTCTTAAGCCATTTCGGAAAACCTTCGGGAGGATGGGGGTCAAATTGACCCCCACCTGAGCACGGGTTAATCATGCATGTTCCGTTTAGTCCGCTAACGCGGATGGCAAAGCTGGTTGAACTAACATGCGCGTTTAACTAGGACTACTAGTTCAAACCACACAGAGGCTGTGCAGAACGCTGGATCGTGAGGAGGCATTCACTATTTTACCTCGGCTCAACCATAAAACTGGAGTTTTAACTAATTGTACCACCAGACAGGATGTCGAGGAATGGAATTGATACAGTTTGTGTGGTGTGTTCCAGAGTGAGACACACTGGGAAGTTGGTGACTGAATGTCCAATTTGTTGGCGAGAGCGCCCGCCTACTGGTTCATCTGGCTGTGGCGGCATGGGCTCGAGTCGCTGAAGCGCTCGCTATTTGCTTGTTACCGGGTCGCCTGCGGCGGGGTGCCGGTAGTGTAGTGGTTAGCGCGTCTGGGAAGCCAGAGGCACGGGGCTCGATCCCCCGCGGTGCCCGCCCTTCCTGCCAGGGTGAGAGGCAGGCGACGCCATATAGCCTCAGCAGCTGAGTGCGTTGTAAAGCCCCAATGACACACACGCACACACACGCACGCACGCACGCACGCACGCACGCACGCACGCACACACGCACGCACGCGCACGCACGCGCGCGCACACACGCGCGCGCACACACGCGCGCACACACACACACACACACACACACACACACACACACCACACACACACACACACACACACACACACACACACACACACACACACACACACACACACACACACACACACACACACACACACACACACACACACACACACACACACACACACACACACACACACACACACACACACACACACACACACACACACACACACACACACACACCGGAGCCAGCGGCATCGCACCAGTGTCAGGCGCCGTCAGCAGCCTGTGCGGGCAGTGCGGGACATTGTGGCTTTCGTGGCAGAATGCCGCTCTTGTTGGGGAAGCTCACAAGTGGATGATGGAGCCAGGGCTTACGCTGTTGGCGGGAAAGCTCCCGGTCGGATGATGCAGCCAGGGCTACGCTGCTCTGTTGGCGGGCAAACTCACGGTCGGATGATGGAGGCAGGGCTCGCGCATCGACACAATGAAAAAGGGTGGAACTGAATGTTAAAACTTTTGTTGTTGTTTTTTTGCAAAAAGATCCAGCAGTGAGCCCAACCCATGTGGGCCTAATGCTAAAAACGGCCATGATGTATATGTGTAGAACATTGGTCACGGACCGCAATTACCTATAAATAAAGGCTCAATTCGGACCACATTTAGCCAAACAAGTCCCACCCAGTGCATAGATCCTATGGCCAAATGTGGTTGACGGTGGTTGTCCATCGGTGCTTTTTTCTTTTGTTGGTACATGCAGCGTCCGGAGTGCTCTAGGATATTGTTAGATATTTTAGCCAAGTGCTTTGTATTGGACAATTGTGCTGATGCCAAGCAGCCACATTCTTCCAGGTTTTTGTCGATTGCGCAGGTTTCCAGATCCGTACCTGTTTTTAGGGGAATTGATTGCTCAAATCTGTCACATGGATGTGAAAACGATACTGGTTGGGGAAGCTTGGCCGGAAACACGCCCTTCATTCGGTCAGGACTCCACTCTCTGTTGTGCGCGTGAGCGAATATTAGAGATAAACTCTGGATGAAAATCCTGCTCAGAAACCACGGCAGTTAGTCTGAAAGGTCGGCGTATGCGGGGCCGACGGAACGAAGTGGAATGTTTGCCCTGCGACGTTTGGGGAGACCGTGCAATGCCGTGCTGCAACATAAATGCGGAAGACGGTGGTCTCCTGTTAGCTTTCAGTCCAAAGTTTCCTTGATGATAGCGCATGTTGCACTTCCCAAACGTTTGAAGGCTTAGCACGTCTGGAAAAGCGTGGTGCTCAGTGCTGTTTTTCGTGGCTGTCAGCATCATCGCCTTTTTAAAAATTTAAAGAAAACTTGCGTGTTGCCTATGATGTGACGTTAATTTTGTAGTATTTTTATTCGCCAAAGCGGTATATTTGAGTGTTATCATCAATAGCTCTTTATTATGTTATCTGTTTGCCTTAATGAGGTTTTTTTTGCTACTTACTTTCAATTTAATATCTACCTGGGCTGGTGCCTTCGTTCCTCTGCGTGTACTGCATATCGTTTGAAAAGGGTATTGGCTGCATTTATTTGACTTCTCTATGCCTTCACTTCAGACTGTTTCGGCGCCCTTTTTCTCTCTTTCTTTTTCTCTCTCCTCTCTCCACTCTCCTCTCTCCTCTCTTCTCTCTCGCTCGGCTTAAGCTCCGCGGAACCCTTCAGCTCAGGCATCTGCACTTCTGGCGTCGACGTGATAGCCTGAATATTGAGGATGGTCATGCAATGTTCGTGATGCCTGATGCTCGTGGTAAGGAGTGTTCTAACACTCTACTCGTTATCAGTTATCGTGGCCCTTTTGCTCGGCCGCTCGTGCTTCAGGCAGCCCTTAGCGTAGTACCTTGTGCCGGTTGTGATGTGGAATCTCGGACGAAGGGTGAAGAACTCTCAACTCATGCAGAATAAGAACATCTGGGGATACGCAGCGCTGGATCAACCACATGCGTGCTGGAAAAGGGATCGATTGCTATCTGGATCCGTGTGAGTGTGGTTGATTCTAGAATTGTTTCGGATGGTTTTAGTGTACTTCGACTGCTTCCAGAGTCAAGCAGAAGTCCGGCTGCTGGTAACTTCTAGTACCCGATCCATGATGATTTCGCTACATTTGCAGCATTACCGCTAGCAGCTTTGCCCTGATGCTGCTTAAGCGACGGACACTGAATGAATGTATACCATCCATGTTATGTTTCGTCCTTTGAACCAAGTGTATTGCTCTGGGCCAGGGACGGTGTCCCGAGCGGACTCGCTCCACCTGGACGGCCTCGACGGTCCGAGCGCCGGCGCCGTGCTACCCATGCCCAGTGTTCAGTCCTACTCAGTCCGGAAGGCGAGGCTTACATGTAGCGCGGTGAATGACAACTGAGCGAATGCAGACGATTGCTGATTCCTTCAGTCCGCTCGCGCCGGCAGGAGAACACCATGACCGAGTTCCTGCGCACCAGCGGTGCCTACTGGACGCTAACGGCACTGCACCTTCTGCACGCGGCCGACCGGCTGGAGCGCCAGCCGCTGCTCGAGTTTGTGCGCCAGTGCCAGGCGCCGTCGGGTGGCGTGGCAGGCCATGTGGGCCACGATCCCCACCTGCTGTACACGCTCAGCGCTGTCCAGGTGAGCCACGACCCCCACATGCTGTGCACGCTCAGCGCCGTCCAGGTGAGCCACGACCCCACCTGCTATACACACTCAGCGCCGTCCAGGTACATGTGACTGGTGCGACGAATGGCCCGCTGTTTTCTGTCGTTCGGTCGTAGAAACACAGCACTCCGAGGTCGCACATCTGCTTTATGCTGCGCTCTGCTGAGCGGCTGCTGTCTCAGGTCCGTCTCCACTGAGCGGCTGATGTGCCGCCGAAAGGTCCGTCTCCACTGAGCGGCTGATGTGCCGCCTCTGCCGTGACCCACGTATGCCGTGCCGCAGATCTGCTGCATCTATGACGCGCCGGAGACGCTGGACGTGGAGAAACTGGTGGCGTACGTGGCAGGCCTGCAGCGGCCCGACGGCAGCTTCCAGGGTGACGCTTGGGGCGAGGTCGACACCCGCTTCTCGTTCTGTGCCGTCGCCTGTCTGGCGCTGCTGGTCAGTGGCCCGTGCGGAGGTGGTGGCGGGGTACGGCGGGATCGTATGGAGGCCACGCAGACAACGAAGTTAGCACGTAGCAAACGGTGGCTGAGCCTAAAAAAACACAGGGTTAGGCTGCGTACTGCGTCTGCTGTGCGGCTCAGCCCTGCTGCTGGCACCGGAGATGCCAGCGTAGTCTGGTCTGGCCGGCGACGGAGCGCGCTCGCTGACCCGGTCTGACCGCCGCCAGGGCCGGATGGACGCCATTGACGCAGCGGCCGCCGGCGATTATGTGCTCTCCTGCATGAACTGGGACGGCGGCTTCGGCTCGCGGCCGCGCTCGGAGAGCCACGCCGGCCAGATGTACTGCTGCTTGGGCGCACTGAGCCTGCTGGGACGGCTGGCTTCGCTCGACGCCGACCGCACCGGCTGGTGGCTGTGCGAACGTCAGCTGCCGGCCGGCGGACTGAATGGCCGGCCGCAGAAGCTGGCCGACGTCTGCTATTCGTGGTGGGTGCTCGCCTCGCTCGCCATGATCGGCCGCCTCCACTGGATCGACGAGGAGAGCGTCAAGCGGTGAGTGCAGTGCCATCAGAGGGCATGTTTTCTAAGATATCTTATATATATATATATATATATATATATATATATATATATATATATACTACGGGGTGCATTTTTGTTCCCAGTGAAGGGTTGAAGGGCCATTCTGTTCCACCGCGGTGTGCCGCCTGGCCGTCATGCTGGCTACACTGGTTGGCATCCCCTGGCCGACGGGAGGTCCTTATAGTGATACATCATGTCATATTGGTCCGCTCCCTGACGCGGGAGGCCTTCTGACCCGCGCAGCTGATCCCTGACCGACACAGGAGCCTCTCATTGTGTCAGGGACCCCGAACATTGCAAATCGCGGGCCCCAGCCTCATTCTTGCTTGTGAAATGTGTCAAGGGCTCAGACGGGCATGGAGCGGACTGTTGGGCTCCGTGTCGAGACCCCAAACATAGGGATACAGGACCTTAGCAAGAGGAACTTGATAGAAGCCCTCTGACTGACGTTTCTGATTATGGCACCACGGGTAGGGTCCTCCGGCCTCCCACGCCAGGGAGGGAACCGACGTAATGTGCATCCATCTGTGGCCCTCGTGATCGACCAGGGGGCCCCAGCCACTGTGTCTCCAGAATAGTAGCCGGCAAGTACCCCGGTTGACGAGTTTGGACGGGAATCCCCTTCAATCTCTGGCCGGGAAAGGCAGTGGGGCTGCCTAGTGTTCTACTTACGGGGCTCCATGTCCACGAAAGGTAAGGGGCTTCCTCAGTGTTGAATCCACTGTGTCTCAGCGACAGTGATGACAAATGAAGAAAGCTGGACCCAACGAAATAGAATGGTCAAACCTGGTGATTCATCTGGGCGCCTTTTCACCGGGAGCCAGTATCCAGCTGTGTGCCGCCCCCACCCTCTCTTACCAATGCTTTGGGCTTCCCTCTGTTATAAGATGGACCTTGTGGGATCTCAGATAGGTTCCTCTCGGGATTAAGCGTCTAGATGGACCCTTAGATGTCATTTCATGATTTAAGAAGAGCCCTACGAAGTTCAAATCATACTGGTAACGCTTTGTAACAGCGCTGTGTTTTTCCCTGCAATTTTCGATAGCACCGTCGTCTTAACCAAGGCCCTGTCTTAAGCGCCATGGTACATCTACTGTTGCGAATGAAAGCACGTTTGTGATCGGCCCAGCAGGCGGTAAGGAGCTCTTGCCGAGAAGCGCATTGGTTAAAATTTGAGCCATTGCGTCATTACGGACCGTGCGATGCTCCCATGTCCAAAGCCAAAGTGCGCCTCGAATAGCCACTCTGGCAATCGCCATAGGGGACAATTCAAAGCTATGGTATAACATGTCGTTGAACTTGCGGGATAACAAATTCGTGTTTGCATGTATTTTTGCCTGAACAGAGTGTTTCAAGCCTTTCTGGCAGTTACTACATTTTGACAAATTAGTGCGCTGCAAACATACCGAACAGACTCGTTCAAAAAACTGGACCAATGAAATGTGCTTCTTTCATAATGGTGCGCGAGAGGTCAAGTAAGATTTCCATCACAGGACCGGCTACAGGGGTGGTTAAAGTGTACTTCTTGTTGCAGACCGAATTTTTGGAGGAAACATTGTCGCCAGTAGCGTAATGCGATGTCATATGACAAAATGGTCATTAAGTCCGTACCCAGTAGCGTCATCAGCGATCAGCCTATCACCAAAAGTCTCTTTCATCACTGCAATTTTCAATATCATGTACATAACCGAAACGTCCAGTCACGCACTGCCCTCGAACAAATGTCAGGACGTGTGCTGCTCCTAGGAATTCAGGTGTACCTGCCCTAGACTGACAAGATAGCCCAATCACAACAGGAGTTTTCTTCCACCCTCGGGACTTAGAGGCCTCACGTTTAAACTCGACCTACGGCTAAATTTGTTTTCCTCGACCCCCCCCCCCCCCCACACACACACAAAACAACGAAGGACCTCGATAGCCAGGGCAGCAAAGTGCATGGCAGATTCCGAAACAGTAGCAAGCGGCATAGGCAATGACGTCAAATATGTGGGGTCTCCACGAGGCCATGCCCCGTTATGGAAATCTAATGTGCGCTTCGAACCCCATCTCAACCGTCACCAAACTATCCACCATACCTTAGGCGTGCTCCAAGCGTGGTGCGACATGTTTTGACTGGTGGGCGCCTTCCACCGTGTCTCAACAAGTAAATTGCATCGTTTTTTTTCTCAAAAACTTCATATCAGGCGGATAGCTCTTTCTAAACAAGTTACTCGTCATTACAGGGGGAAGGTTGGCGGTGCGCGCCCCCCCCCCCCACGGTTTCCTGAGGACACCAATGCGACATATTGTGCAGTCTTGCTGAAATCTTTGGTGGCCCCTGGGGCATCCATTGTGCGTGTGTTGACACCAAAAAAGTGCCCCTAGCAATTCTGGTTTAAGAGTAACGATGTTTTTATACGATCATTGCAAGACGATTCAAGGCCGGCGGGTGTGGCAGGGGCAAGTGACGATTCTGCGGACCGCGCGCGGGGGGTTGGCACTTACATGAACGAAACCCTACCTTATAAGTGTAGGTTCCAGACACATAAAACTACATGACATTGTACTCATGATAAAGCAAGGGACACGCCTCTTTATGTTCCATGTCACTTCACTACATGATTTCATATATATGAACATGCAAAGGTGATGTTTGGTTTTCAGGAAAATTCGGCCTTCGACTTGGTCTAGTGGGGTCAGTAAACAGCAGGAAACTTCTTACCGATCACGAGATCTCACCAAAGACAGTTCACCGTTTGCTTCTTTTTTGCGAAGCTTTACCTTTCTTAGTTTGCAAACGTCAGGGAAACCCCCGAAGATCAATTCTGATTCACCTCCCCCCAGCCAACATTTCTAGCTGGAAAATTACAAAAAGATGAGATAAAGACTTACTATAACACAAAACCATCTCATCCGGACTTAATTTATTGACCATGGTCCATGGGTCGCTACGTCCCCCTAACCACGCATAAAAATTAGCACTGCTGCCATTATGCCATCACCACACAACCCATATTGATTTCTACTATCAATGTAGGCCATGGGCATAGGAACAGGGGGGGGGGAGGGGGCAGGGGTCATGGCCCCCAACTTTTCGAGGTGGGGGGGGGGGGCAGCAGTGCTAACTGCCCCCCCCCCCACACACACTTTTCGGATTAAAGTTGCTGCTTTTGCACATCAAACATACATGCTGATTTACCTGGCTCACCAGCCGTCTTCCTCCAGATGTGCCATCTTTTCCGTTCGCTCATTGGTCATTGCTTAGTGTCACAGCCGCCAGACTGACGCCGCGCGGCCAATGGAGACTGCAGCGCCGGGCGTCGAGGCTGTTGTTGGTATGACTTGCGAGCGCTCATGTTCAAAACCATATCACATAGCTTTTTTTACCGGTTATCAGTTCTGACTGATTCTTGAACATTTTAAGAGGAAGATGGATTTGTCATGTTAATGCAAATTTGGGACTCTATTTCATCTACAATCTACGTTCTGGGAGTTTTCAATGCTTCTTTAGAACACAGAAAGCATGGAGTTGGAGTCTATGTGACAATTATTGGACCACCTGCGGCGATTGGGGATGTTTTGGGATCAATACAAGTTCCTGTGCTGATCCGGAGTCAATTGCTCGAGTCAGAAGGCCTCCCGTGTCAGGGAGGGGAACATCGTGATATAATATATAATTTTAATTGCCTCCGGATGGGCCAGGAGAACCCGCGCCGTGTCGCCAGAACAACAGCCAGAAGACACTTCGCGAGGGGCTGGAATGGCCCTTCAGCCTTTGGCGGGAGCCGGTAATGTGCCCCTGGTCTTCTGGTCATGGGTCGAAATGAATTAAAACAACGAACAAGGCCATCCCATGTTTGCCTGAGAACGATCATTTTTTTTTTGTAGAACGGATTTCTAAAAAAAAATGCATCAAAAGGTTTCAACATGCCCTCCCGCAACCTCGAGAGCATGGACAACGATGGCTTGGGTTGCAGCTTCCGTAAAACCGAACGGCGTCGGCCACTGCAAGTGCCTCCAGACTTGCAGTGTTACGGGAAGACAGAGTAACACGGCGGGCGCCGTGTTGCTGTTTTCTGGACAGTTTATTGTCACAGAAACACGAAAGATTGAGATTCTCTGTTTTACTCTTCCGGTTCCACCACCACCAACACCACTTCGCGGTGCCTTAAGGGCCAACCCGTTCTTATCATCAGTCTAATAATAGCACACGTGACATATGCGCTCAGACTGCCTTCTAAATGCAAGATCTAATGTCATGAAGCGTCCAAGGATACTTTTTCCAAAGCGTAGTAATTTTCGTCCACCCGTTGGTCACAACTTAATATTAGCTGCTAGGCCGACGCTGCGCAGCCCACGGAGACCGCAACACGTGCGGTCGAGGCTTGTGTTTCTAAAATTTTCGAGTGCGCATGCTCAAAATGACGTCTTGTATAACTAGTCGATTTAAGTGCTAAAAGGCAATCGTTTTAGAAGCGTCATCATTTTCGTCCACCGGTGGGACACAGCTAAATATTAGCTACTGGGTGAACGCTCCGCGGACCATGCAGACTGCAACGCCTGGTGTCGAGATTTTTGTTGGTAAGATTTGCGAGTGTGCATGTTAAAAGACACGTTACATAACTTGTATCACTAATTGGTTCTAACTGAATGGTGAACATTGTCAGGCAAACATGGCTTGACCATGTTAATGCACATTGTTGACCACTCGATCTGCAATCAACTTTTCATCTTCAAATTTGGATCAAACATCGATCTACAATCTCCTTTCGCGATGTCCTCAGTGTCTTCAGAACCCAGATAACAAATTTTGACAAAGCTTCTGCGTTCTGTCGGTTTAGAAAGAGTCAACTAACCATTGTAAATTAACAGCGCCAGTGATAATTCCAAGCAGTCGTTCAGCGCCTGATTTCTGTAGTTTAGCGACTTGAAAATACAAACAGAATTGAGCTGACGGTAGCTCCCGGTTTCTGTTCTGGTTACAAGGTAAA